GCAAGGTAGAAGGGAAGTGCTCTTAGAATAATGCAAGATGATTATCACTTCCAAGTATTATTTTCTTAGGATATAAAGTGCTCCTCTGGTGACATCATAAATCAGAATTACATTTATCTGCATCTTTGGTGGTGAGGACATGATGACAAAGCACAGTTGTGGGGTATGAGGGCTCTCAGAATAAACTGAAGGCATTTAAAATAAGTTACATAGAGTAGTACATGGTATTAGAGCTAGAGCTGCAGCTGTTTTTCTGTGAAAAAATAAGACTACAGAAAAGGTTTCAGCCAGGATTCTAAAGAACATCAAGAGACACAACGTTATTTCAGCCTGAAGATGAAGGAGTGATAGGATTTGCTTCCAGGGGTTCACTGAAGTAGGTAGAGAAGGAGTTGCACTGTTTGCACTGGACACTGAACACAGCTTCTGGAGAAGGCACTGTACATACATACATACACACGTACATACACACATATATTCTTATGCTTAAAAAGGTAAACTTAATCAGTAAATGTGTGTGGTGAGGCATTTGCTGTGACATGTTAGATCAGTGATCCTCTTGTCTGTAGTTCTCTTACTGCTCATCTTACTTGTACCCCAGTTAAAAATGAAAGACCTCAGACACAAATTCACTCCTCAATCTATTTGCTTGTATATAGCATTTAGCTTGTGTATAGCTGTATATCCGGCATTTCCATGACATTTCAGATACCAGGAAAATATATAAATTTGAATGCAAGTACTTGCTTTTAAGTCTTTTAAGTGCATATTTATTCTTTGGTTAGTTATTTTCTTCAATTGTAATATATACAAACACATCACATCATAAACATAGAACTGCAGTCTTCATATAGAGAACAACGAGTGTTAGCGAAATGGAAATTTCGAGTCCTCTAGTCTGTTGCCTGTAGAAATGTCAGTGCTTATTGAGCTCATGAATGAAATGAAATGCCAGGCTGCCAAATACGTAACCTTCTGGGCCTCCTTATAAATGCAAAGCCACTAGAAAAACATTCCTTGGCAGTTTGACCTTTCGCAAGTAATAAATTCCTATTCACAGTGAATGAGAAGGGTTTTCCTCACTTAAAAATATAAGACAACAAATTAACTTGCAACCTGAAATAAAGCTGTTAAAATTGCAGTCAATTTTATTTCTGATAAATCAGACCTATGTATTCTTCTCTCTCAGCTGGGAATAAATGCCTGTGTATAGCACTTCTTTTAGAAAGATTTAATATAGCAGTGTGCACAGGAAATTGCCTCTTAATTTAGAGTTTACACATATTTGCCAACAGCAGTTTAGTTTTTGATATAAAACTATTCTCAGTACAAGCTCCTCTTGCTTTATCCATGTAATACAAAAATACGTGGAGATTTCAGTGAACCACTTTGTAAGAGGTGTCTGAGAGTTAGAATTGAATTTTTTATTGTTGACAACAATTTTTAATCCCACAATGTTGTCCAGCCTTGATATGGTTACTCCAGGGACATTTTTCAGCTCAGCATCCTATTTCCTACTGTCTGCGGGTTCACTACACCTAAATCGTGGTGTAGATCAAATTGGGTGCAGAAATGAAATACAAACATGGCTAAATCCTCAATGTTTATGCATTTAAAGGGTTCATAAAATAATTGCCTGTGTTGTTATTTTTTTATCCTTCTGCTGTAAAAATGCTATCTAAAAGGCAAACGATGGAGAAGTATTGCTTCTATGTTAGTTAACTATGTTAACTAAGTTAACTATGTTTGAGTTAGCTAACTATGAATAGTTGCTTTATGAGGAAGTAGCATAAGCGTAGCTTGTGTTCAAAGCAATATAAAACTAGCATTTGAAATGCCAATGTGAATGGATGTTTTTGGTGCAAAATATCTAGGTCTTCTTTGCATTTCACCCATAGTTTTTAATTCATCAGGATTCACTGGATTACGTAGCCTCATGTAGACAGTTAGTTAAAAAACTTGACATAAACTGGTGCCAGATTGTCTTACTGCTATTTTTAAGGGGTGGCTTGTGCAAGCATGTCCTGCAGCAGTAATAAGATGCACTCACTAGCCAAAGTGTGACCAATAAGCCAGGTCAGTAACGCAGGGTTTGGGGCTGCTGCTGCGTTACAGGCAACATGCAGCAGTCTCTTGGCAAGCCTGTTTTTGCTTTCACGTTGCAGGTGGCAAACACCACGTCTGTGGTCAGTCACTGGTACATCAGGATCCACATCTTACTAAAATGGGTGCTGTCTCTGCCATCTTGGTGCACTCAAACCCTTCCAGGGTACTTTGCTTGTGTATAAGGAAATGCCAAAAGATATTTATTGCCTATGTATAGTCTATAGGATCTATCTGTCTATATATTATGAAGCTGTAGGCAGCTAAATTCCAAATCTACGGTATATGTATGATTAGGCTGCTTCATACTTGCTGCTATTTCAAAATTCTGGTACTTCTTCCCCTATAGTTCCCTATTTATAAAATGTAAATGGCCTAACAAATACCATTCTGATCACACATCCACTAGACCTCAAAATCATAGAATCACAGAATCACAGAATGCTTAAGGTTGGAAGGGACCTCTAGAGGTCATCTAGTCCAACCCCCCTGCACACGCAGGGTCACCTAGAGCACGTGGCACAGGACTGCATCCAAGCGGGTTTTGAAGATCTCTAGAGAAGGAGACTCCACAACCTCTCTGGGCAGCCTGTTCCAGTGCTCTGCCACCCTCACTGTTAAAAAAAAAAAAAAAATCCTTAAGTTCCTGTGGAACTTTTGATGCTTCAATTTGTGGCCATTACCTTTAGTCCTGTCAGTGGCCACCACTGAAAAGAGGCCAGCGCCATCCTCCTCACTGCCTCCCTAGAGGTACTTGTATACACTGATTAGATTCCCTCTCAGCCTTCTCTTCTCCAGGCTGAACGGCCCAGCTCCCTTAGCCTCTCCTCAATGTTCAGGTGTGTATTGTCAAGCTGAGAGAAGGTTGCTCAGGGAGCTGCAGCACCATCCCACCAGCAGGTCATCCTGCATTACAGTCTCAAGTACTTTACTGCGTTACCTTAACCAAATGTGTGTCACAGCCTTTATCAGTGTAACAAATAGCAGCAAAAGCAGCAGCAAAAGTTTTGGTAAACAGAGAGCATCAGTCATGAGTTTTAATTTGCTTTCCTAATGTGTCCCTACCTTTGATAATACAACAGACGTTTGAGAGAAAAGCACCCCAGGTTCCTGATGCCGTGTGAGGGCTCCAGGCTGTGCTGCAGATTCAGTGCCCCAGAGCCTGCTCCAGGCTCTGCTCTGCGGTGGCATGGTCTGACTCTGGTATTACCGGCATTACATTGGCACCAGTGCAAGTTTCACATTGGCACAAATACAAGGAGACAGCACAAATGTGCTAGTTTGTGCTAGCAAGGCCCTTTTGTTTTTCCAGATCAACACAGACAGTTTGGCCTCACAGTAAATGAGGATGCACTCGGTCCAATGCGGACGTTGCAAGCTAGTAGTGCGTTTCAGGGTCCTTTCTTGAATCACCAGTGCTTTGACATCACTTGAAACAGAACCAAAATGTAACTTCCCACATCCTACTCCCATGGTTTATTCATTAACTAGTCTGCTAGATGTTTTAGTCAAACATACTATCACTAAATCACCATATAAAATCATAATAAAACAGATGACAAGGAAAATAATGTAGCAGATCTTAGCATAATTTTTGCAAAGTTGTAAACTGGATGGGAAAAAAAAAGATTTGCAAGAATCTAATTGTATTAAAACTACAAGTGGTGTTTCAGGACAATTTTAGAAGAAAGAATCTGTTTTGAAAGGTGTGGTCAACTTAACTGAATGAGGCCATGGCTATGCCCTCTGGCTAAAGCACAGCAGCTTGAGCCAGTGTGTGAAAGTGTATGGTACATCAATAAGGAAAAGAACAGAATCATGAAAACAGTGCTTTAATAATGGCAATATAGAAAAAAAAGTCGACATTAGAGAGGAAACTGGGAACTAGTGCATTTCGTTAAATTACTGGCATCATGAAAGCAGATGGCTGTTTAATATTAAGCTTTCCTTTGTTTGAAATGTATGCTTGTTCCTAAAACACATCCATGATAAATAGAGGTTTGGACCATATTCTTTAGAAGCGAGGAAGCAAAATAGGAAATAAAGGACATCTATGGGTAATTCCTATTCAATGGATAGAGTAATTGCAATCTCATTCAGTCTGGGATGTTCCAGATGAGAAAAAAGAAATAAAAATATGTAGCCCAAAGTTGAAGCCAGTTTAGGCATATGTCATCATTTTCTGTGCAGCTACTGAAGTTGGTTTGCTGCCAGCCAAATTTGGCCTCAGGCATCACGCTCTAGACTGGAATTTCAGCTACATCTATCATTCTTGCTAGACCCATAGCAGGTTCCAGTGGCGATCTCATAAAAGCTTGGCATCTGGGTCAAATGTCTGATTTCAGTGCAGCAGATGATTTCTTAGGGTTTGGGGGCTGTTCTCATTCATGCCGCTGTTGTCTTTTAGGTAAACTGCCACAGTTTCCATCCAAAGGTGCTGTGCTACTTTACGTAACCACATTTTATGATTACTGACAAATAGCAGATTTTACGTCTCAGAGGAGGAGGGAACCAAAATGACTTGGGGGCTGTACTGATCCAAGCAGACACCTCGAATCTGCAATCTACTTGTTCAGTCAATATAAACTGACAGTGTGATTAGGCACCTTCAAAACTAGAGTGCACTTAGGAACAGCTCAGGAAATACTTACCAAGTGTAATGATTATTTAAACACAGCACCCACGGAAATCTCGTCACTCAAACACATGAATGGGGTGTTTTTATCTCAGTAGTTCTTCTTACGCAATGGGCAATAACATTTTTATGTTTAGATAATGTTAGTGCTTGCTTTTAAAAATGCTTCAATGGGAAATGCTTTCAGCGTACCTGTGATTCCCATTTCGTGTCTGACTAGCTCATTGAAATAGCTGTTTGCTTTTCCCCTGTTTTTCTGCAGCAGTTAAGATCATGGATCTACCAGAATCCTCGGGCGATGGCATTTTGGTTACAGCCAGCACTTACCTTCACACAAAAACGTTGCCTTTCTTTATCGGTGA